CCATGCGAGAGTAGTGCCGAGAGTGAACATCCGCGCGGAGAGCACAGACGGCACGGCATGGCGAGTGTGAATGTCCGCGCGAGAGATCGTCTCTGATCGGGCAGAGAATCCTCGACGTGCCGTTGAGGAATCCTCAAGCGATATTCACCCTGCCTGCACAAAATCGCTCCATTCGCAAAGTCTGACATCGGCCAATCCATTGTTGACCATCCCTTTGAGCCAGAATTCTACAAATTTTGGTTAACTGCCGTGAAGCATTCACCTTCTGATGCCCTTCTGCACCCATCAATCGCTCTTTCAAAGTCGATTGTTGGGTGCAGAAGGGCATCAGAAAGGTGAAGGCTTCAAAGCACTTAGATGATTTTTTTACTCCAGTACTCCTTTACTGTTTACTATTAATATTTGGTTTGCTTACTTCCTGAGTGAAACCAAAAGCTCATGTTCTCGCCTTACACAGCCAGAATTCATTTGACATTTGCTTGGTGTTTTCCAGCCGCTTTCCCGAGCATTTTCTGTAGAAATAGAACTGTGTCATATTCCCGCTATTCACAGAAGCCCAGTGTGACCGTGCACAGAAACTTATATCCTCTTTTTCAGGAACCACTTTATGTGTGCTGATACGGAAGTTAAAGAGCGGGTGAAACTCCATTTTTGTTCCCTTTGTCGTCGCCAAATTGCAGGGGAGGATACGCCCGATGTTGAAGTGGTTGAGAAACCTTTCGAGTGCGTATTGTGCTTTGGACTTCTTGATCCAGCATTCATCGAACAAGTTTGTTTGACTTCTTATGGACCTGTATTTTTTGCATTTCAGTTGTTGAGCTGTTTTCTTTGGCACTTTTCGTTTTCAGTGATATTTTCTATAGGTAGCCGAAGCTGTGGCAGCCCAACTGAAAGATTCGCCATATGATGCGCCCGCTTGCACACTGGCTCTTAATTTACCTATATCACAAACTCTTCGACAAACCATCATAAAACAAGCGAGACCGGATCTCAATGGAATATTAGTTTCCGTTCCTTTCAAAATCAGGAATATTGACGCCTATTTACCAAAGCTGCGAGATGTAAGTATCTTTCTGTACAGTTTTTTTGGTTATTGAAATGTGAGGTTGAGTATCGAGTGTGGCAACTTTTCCATTGTTTGTCGCTTGTGATTCCCTCGCAATTTCTCAGCGTTGACTGCACAATACCACACCCGCCAGAGTCAACCGCCCGCTAGGTTTTCCGAACGAGAGAGATCGATTTTGTGGTTTTTGGATGGGAGGCCTTCTTTGGGTGTTTTTTGTGTGGAGGGGTGGTAGGCGTGGGTGAGGGACTTTGAAGCTGTTTATTTGATGTTCGAGTGAATCAAATGATCGCAGTTCAACCGAAAGCTACCGCACCATCAACATTCGAGGAAAAATCGTATGGGGGGGGGGGGGGGCGAGCGTAAAAAATTTGGAGTTGATACAACGTAACGGTGAGTGTGGTTCAGTAGGACAGAAGCGACTTTTCTGCTTCTCGCACGCGAAACTTGTTCGCGACAAGACTTTAGGTCCACACAGAACAGCCTTGGACCTGAGATTCCCGCAGCGAAAAGAGCTTCGTTCTGCGAAAAGCGGAAAATTCCTTCCTGTCCCACTAAACCACACCCGGTGACTGTTGGCCCCTACCCAGGTGGTGACGATTCAATCGCGACGCTGGTCAGGTCGCCCTCCACCCTCAGGGTCGTTAGAGTACGTCTATGCAATCGATTTTAGTTGGGCAGCAAGAATGCACCATGCTTTCAGTATGGCTCAAAGGCCTGCACGTAACCGATATTCTCACTCAACGTCAACGTTCACGAATTTCATTCAGCTAAAGCATTTAAAATTGATTGTCTCAAAGTTTCAGGCGTCCGGCTTGCGGCTCACTTTATCATCAGATCTCCAATTAACGATTGCTTTCGAAAATGATGAGTTCAATGAGTACGACACAGAATTCCTTCTGGAGCACTTCCCAGAAAATTTCCATCAAGGGAGGAAACGGAAGTTCCACGAGGACATACCCCAACAGTTTACCAAGATCAAGGTGGAGCAGATATTGGGTCGAATAAAAGGCGATATAGCCAGGTAGGATAGTAGAAGATTATTTGTCTAGATGGATTGTAAGTGTTGAGTTATTGGAGTTTTTCATGAGCAAAACAAACCTCAAGTTTTCCAAGATTTTCTCGTTATTCTGAGAGGAACAGTGGATAGTGGGGCAGTATTTCCCTGAATTTGAGAACCTATCTGTCGTTATGTGACTTGCAACCCCTAATTTTTTACAGTACAGTCTTACATAAATTTCCATATCTTTCCTTGTCTTCTCATCCTAGCAGTCGCACTATTCCCACTCTTTCCTATGTCTGTCAAATCTTTACCAGGCACTACCAGTGAAACACGTATTTAGCTTCGTTTTTTTTTTCATAGATTCGGCTGTTGCTATTAAGTTCTTAAGAAGAGTCAAATGCTTTCCAAAATGGATTTATTTACCTGTTTCAGGAAGTACAAACTGTGTAGTCCAACTCGCCCGTGCTCTTTCACGCTGTCGTTGGAGCGTGACCCTGTATTCATTGCCGGAAGGTACTGCAAGTATTCACGGTTGTTACCGCAGTCGCCCTGGTCAGCTGAAGAAAAAACTGCTCCAAGAGAACCAGGAAACTCGGTTTGTTCTTCAGAATTTCTTTCTCTTTCCCAAACTGGGTTCATTTCTGGCGATTTCCGTTGCACTTTGTGAAGTAAAAAAATGGTGTGAATAAACAAGTCGTATTGTCAGACGAATTTTCAGGTTTCAGAAAAGATTTGCGACCCCATGAAGAATAAGTTCGGTGCGTCTGAGGCTCGATTTATTGCCTCCGGAAGGGAAGACTTAGACGTGCGCATGTTGGGAGATGGTCGGCCGTTTGCTGTTGAATTACGGAACTGCCGCTTTACCAATTCACTCAAGGGGTAGGTCGTTCCAGATTTTGTCAACTACAAACAAAACCGTCTACATACTGCACCAATATCCGAAGGTTTAAGGAGTCAAGGGTTATTATTTTCCCGCTAAATAGGGTCTTTAAATACTTTTCCTTATTAGAGTGGGAAGGTGCTATATTTGGATTTAAACGCCATTCTCTAATTATTTTAGAACAGATCATGAAGATACGTTACGTGATCTCGAGAAGGAGATTAATAAGCAAAAGGATATATGCGTGAAATATCTAACCAGAGTCACGCGTGAGGAAGCTGAAAGCCTTAGCGTTGGAGAGGAAGGTAAGTGAATTTTTAAACAGAATAAATATCTTTGGAACGCTGTCAAGAATATGTTTCGTCCAGTGTTTAGCAACGTAAAGTGTTAGTTATTGCGAAATGAATTCCAGAGAAGAGGAAACACTATGTTGCATATTGCTACAGTACTCTGCCTATATCTGATGAGATGCTCAATAACGCTATGAAACAAGTCCCAATTCAAGTGATCCAGAAAACTCCTGTTAGAGTCCTGAAGCGGAGGGCTTTGTTGGATCGACCACGTACAGTTTATACCATGGATATACTGCGAGTGGATTCTCACCACTTTCTCCTAAGGTTCGTCCGTTTGAAGTACGATTCCTAGTTCCTTTTTGAGTAAAATGGCTAGACAGACGACTTTTTGTTGCTGCGCCACTTTTTTTTCAATACACTCTAGTTGCTACTGCAGTTGTTTGTTCAGGATAGAAACCCAAGCTGGAACATATGTGAAGGAATTTGTGCATGGAGATTTTGGCCGGACCCGGCCCTCGATGGCAGAACTTCTTGGTGTTTCTGAAGGGGAAGTAGACATTCTCTGCGCCCCTCGACGTTGAAAAAGTGAATCGAATGGCACCAGCTAACGTTCGATCCTGCAGCATTTTTTACGTGATCAATCGATCTTACGTTGTTATTTTGTATTTTTGTAGTTTCATACGTGTTTGTTCCGTCAGAATGATGGCTGTTGTTGTTTTTGATGTTGTTAAATTGCATAGGTAAATCAATTTTGCTATTAGTTGCGGTATCTGCTGAGTACAGGTCTAAATCCAATTTTTCACGCCTACAGCTTGATGTGGAATATGCGATAGAAGTTCTATAAAAGCGTCTGCTTTTAGTGGAAGTGTTTTTCTTGCGTAGTGATCTCCTCTGATAGGTCCCGTCCAATGGGTGCCACGGTATTGATGGTGGCAGAAAAGCCACTTCTTGCCGACTCTATAGCGAAAATTCTTTCGAACAATACTGCCTCCAAGCGCAAAGGTTATCTTTCTTTAATTTTTGTTTCGTTTTGGATTTCTGCTTTTTTTTTTCTTGAAGCCTGCTTTGTCTTCCTCTCCTAATATCACCGCTTGTCATTCTGGTGAGGGTGCTTACATCCTGGCGTACTCTGTTGATCCAGTGACATTTTTCTAGGACGTACTTTGGAATACGTTTGTGTAATTATTCAACTCAAATTCTCGTGGATAGATTAGGGTGGGTATCCAATGGCCAAGAATTTCGACATTTTTCTCAATTCGATGCTACGAAGAGAGCAGGGAGATTTGTGTTCCTGCTGACTTTTCCTACGTCGTTGTGTATTTTCTATCATTCATTAATGCTTGTTTTTGGCTCGCGCCATTGTCTGGGAATGTGAAAGTAACTGCGGAAAACAGAATGGCGAAGGTTTACAGCTGTTTAACTCAATTTCGTACCTTCCAATTATATATTCTTCCGAGAATGATTGAAAGTCGATCTTGATATCACCATTTCTCTTTTTTATAATTTAATCTGAGCGATCTCGATTCATGATGCATTGAGTGTTTTGAGGTTTTGCTTTGATTCTTCTTGTAAAGATCATGCGGTGTTAGATTGACTTGAGATTGTTCAAAAGAAAACGAAAGCAGAGAAGTAGAGATAAGCATCTAATCAGAAAAACCAGACGAGGTCTAGCAAGCCCAAGAAATGGGATTTTGACTCCTACGCCCCGCCTTCGATCATTGCGAGGAGAGCGTCGTCGGCGACGATGATATACTCAACAATCTGCAGCGGATTTTTGGCTGCTTTGGCGAGTCCACGTGTTCATTCAGTAATCGGGCCATAGGAAAACCCGCATCGATCGTCTGGAGCGTGGACTACATCGTCTAGCAGCCTTGAACAGGTTGGGGTCTCGGCGTCACTGAGCCAGCTACTCTCCTCTTCCAAAAGGGTTTACCTGCACAAGTCGACGTAATCTTTATGTAGGCCAGCTGGCTCGTGAACATCTCTTCAGAAAAGAACTTCCTGCGCCGTGTTTGACCTTGTTGTCTTTTTTTTCTCTCCGAACATTTATTGTTGATATTATTCAGGTTAAAAAAAAAACTAAAGAGCAAAACAAAAAGTTAGTAAAGGGTGTATCATAGATGAGGAGTTTGAGAAGCTGAGCATGTACAAACCCAGTGGGCAGACTTCTCAGGGTGAGCCGACGTCGAGGGTCTTTCAATAGCGCGGTTTGAGGAGGCAGGGCTGATTCAATGTGTAGGTATGTTTCGGAAGCTGTCGTAGGTCGTATGTTGCGGAATTCCAACGAACTTACGTAATTTCGAGTCGCAGGCAATCATTTCTTAGAAATTCTCGCCGTTTAAGCTTTTACTACTCCCCGCCAAATGGACATTTTCGGGGAACTTAAGTATATGGTGAGAGGTGTAGTTTAAAGTAATTTGGGAACAGAATCCGGAGCAGAGTGAGTTGTGGGTCCTTCGATTGGTGGGGCTGTTTTGGCCCGGAGGAGTTCGTATAAGGAGGAATTCACGATAAGAACGAAGGTCAAAGAAGGGAAAATTGCATTGGAGACAGGCGGACCTCCTGAGGGTGCTGACCGACGCGCAGTTGGCAGCGAAAGATTTGACCCCGGCGATCTAGCATGGCTCACTCTTGGCGCGGTTGGCGGGAAACGCCCACCCTCAATCTAATCACTCGCCGCAGGTAATACGTGGATAGAGCGTAGTGTTGAAGAAGGCACAGCGATGAGAGTCGCATCAATGCGCAAATCAACGGGCAAGGAAGGGTCCCATTTCTCGGGTTTCGGGCCGTTTCAAATGGTTTCTTCTTCATCCCTGCTCCACTGACCACCTCTACCCTTATTTCCAATGAGCTAACTTTTCATCGTAATTCTGCCTTTGAAGCGTGATATAGTCCGTGATATGTGGGAGTTCATTCTGGTTACGGTCTAGCAAAGAACCAAGTGGGTGTATCAAGACAGAATTAAGTGTGCTGTAGGCAATCTTTCCTGGTTATCCATATTTCTTCAGGCTATTTAAGTTCCAATCTTGTCTACGGTCACTCACACTCACAAATGGTTATGGTAAGATGGATCACTTACCTGCCATCAGCGGTGTGATTCATTGCAGCAGCCAAAAATTTACCACGCAGTTACCCAACTAGAAATATGATTCTTAGGATTCCTACACAAAAGGCATAGCTCCGATTCTGTTTACTAAGCCCACACTCAAGTGCTTCCGAATGTGGTTACAAGTAGCAAGCGTAAGGATGATTTTTTTGAAGCTCTATGTAGAAACCCGCAGTTAGTAATTCGTGATGCTTTGATTATACGTGGAAGCTACGCAGAAAGCTTGCGCAAGCGACCTAGCATGCAGTATTCCTAGTGTTGTTTGATATATAAGGGCTCCCAGAAGGCGGAGGTGCTGCGAAGCAAGAGGCGATGCCTATAACGTGCACAGCCTTAGGACCAATTTCTGGATCGTATCCCGCCTGGGCACAAACTTTTCGGTTGCAGATACCAGTCTCTGTGCATGAGTTTCTCCACAAGTCATTGGCTCGTTACTCATCAAAATTTCTTTCACGGCTTCAGTGAAAATAAAATACGTGGCCCATTCATACAGATCTGTGGGCATTTTAACTTGGTGCTGTCCGCGAAGCCTCATAAAGATCTGAATGTTAACACATTGTTTAAACAATAGCCTCTAATGTTGTTTAACATTCAAATCTGCATTGTTAACGCTCGAGAAGATTCGAGCTCTCTTTTCAGCATAGCAAAAATGCTCAATGAAGCCGGATGTGCTGGTAGAGGTGAACGTGCGTTCTATTCCATGTGGTGTAAGCGCGCACACCAGACTCGTCTGAGAATCGTAAAAGAGATGAATAGGTTTGGTCTAGATTCCGATCGATTTTGAGGGCTCTAGCAGTGTTCAGGATGCATTTCTTCTAAGCAAATCTTTTATTCAGGAGACGAAAAGGCTTTCCTACTCTTTTCAGCACCGCAGGCTCGCACCTATAGCCAAAATTCTACTAACCATAGACCGAAGCCGGATCTTTCCTTTTGCAAACTAATCGGTACGTTCCGAAAGGGTAAATGGACCAAGTTTCCGGCGTTGATCAGCCGGGTTGGGATACGCCGCGTATTGTACTTCCATTCAACTTCTTTGTAGCATTTGAAGGCGGTATAGCTCATATCGAGACTTGTTAAGGCCACCATGCTTCCACCCCTCAGGTCGGTTGATGGAATTCTGTCTGACACGAGTTGTCGCGACGCCGGAGAGATCGAAAGTTTTGGTTAGACGTTAGTCTGGGGCGTCTGTGCTCCGCGAGTTACTATTTTTTTCACTGCGATCCCCGAGGCGGACTGTGGCTGTCGAACCACTGCGTCGGCTACCAGGTACAAATTCTCGTCGGTTACCTGTCTGAGGGGTGCTACATAGATAGGTCCCTGTGAACAAATGTTTTCCGAATACAGTTAAGCCGGAGTCTAGTTTTGTGCTGAAGCACGAGCTTGTCGAGCGTCACGGTTGGCAGCATGACTAGCAAAATGCCATCATCGGGCAGCTGAATTTCTTAGATAGCATTCACTTCTTGCCCGGACTGCATAAATAGGAGATCAGTCTTTCTGCTCTAAGACACCAACCCAACTAACAGCAATCGATGGTCACACGGTGGATTACGCAGGATTCACGGCGGTAATAGCGACGATGCCCAACTGCAAGGCGGCAAGGAGTTTGTACAGTCAGAAGAAGCCACACAGTCTTTAGGAACCTGGGTAGTTTGGCAGTTCCATAAATTCAGCGGCAAATAGCTTCCTATTCCAGAAACGGTGAAACAACAAGAAAGTGGTTTGCTCCTGTTTACGAGGGAACATTCCGTTCTGCCATAAAATTCCATCCTGCATCGCTTTTCTTGAATGTAAAGCTTTACTGATGCTCGTCATGAGCAACTTTTATTTCTTGCTTCATATTCGACTTTGAAGAGGCAAAATATTTTCTCGCTGTAAAAGTGGCATTCATGCCTGAAAACAGTACTCTTCATTCACAACAGCTTCGATTTATTCCTCACGAGCTCGTCTTGCAGCTAACAATAGGCTGATGCTGATTAAATTGGGGTTGATCAACATCTTGTTCACAACGAATGCTCTCTACGGAAATTGCCTAAGCTTTTATTATTTTCAAATGTCGCTATGATACAAGCAAAATACTTTGTATTTAGGGGCGAAATGGTGTATGTTAGTCAGTGATATGGAGTCAATTTTGGGGCAAACAGCTTTCTTCAGTAATTTCTTTTGTGAATTGTGTCGAACACTAATGATACGATTCCGAGAAATGAGGACATTTACGGAATCGCTATTTGATATGCACATTCAGGCCCGAAACTTTTGAAAGCCTCCTTTGAACGGTAAACGATGCGCGAAAAATCGCTACTGATGGGAAGTAGCTGTGATTGGTGGGTGCGGATCACTGACCTATCGTGGTTCTGTTCCCAATGCACGGTGAGGCCAAAATACAGGATGTCAGGATGCCCAGGAAGTCCCGAGACTGTTCGAATTTCATTTTCAAACCTATTGAACATTGACAAACAATAACATTGACCATGAATACGTTGACCACCACTGCCCATAACCTTTCCCCATTAGTCGGCGGTAGACGGTTTCCTCTTCTCCAAAAATCAGGGCTTCGGAAATTCTTGAGTTCAGTAAACTCTTTCTTCGAGGAGTCTCTAAATTTCTTGGACAACTTAATGATGTTCTGGGTCTGAACGACGTTGCGCATTTCGAAAAATTGCTATAATATTTTCGGAAAGGATCTGTTGCTACAGCAGCCGATTTGGGTGCTCGCTATGTCCTTAGGTGTAAAATTAGAACCTATGATGTCGTTGATGGGGACTTATGAAAGCTGAAATTAAATTTCTTAGGTAACGAGTACGTGTGGGCATGTGATGAGTTCTGGATTTTCCGCCACGCTTCAACAATTGGGAACGCATCGATCCGGTTGAACTGTACACAGCACCAACGAATAAGATTGAAGCGAATCCTAAGATGCATATGAATGACGTGAGTGGTCCGAGCCGGCCAAAATCTTATTGGCACTTTCTTGGTGTT